TAACTTTGGTATTATTGCCATACCTAACAGAAGTCTTTGTCTAACTTGACCGCTCCTCAACACCTGGCTCGTTTTCCCCAGATTCTGGTTTAAATTATACCTCCTTCCCCACCCCCAATTTCTTGTAGATATTCTGATCAGCCAGTTCTACCTCTGTGGAAAGGGGGGTTCCCTTTTAAGATGTTTGTCCTTAGTTTTCACTTTGGTTCCCTCCCATAGGGGACCAAATTCTTCAACGGGGCGGGGGGGGGAGGGTTGGGGCAGCCATTTCTGAGACGGGCCTTTTCTACAGTGCTCCCGCTTCTATGAATAATTTAGCAGTACTTCACACAGGTGAAGGGTCTGCCCAACTAGATCATGTTCATAGAATGTCAGGGTTAGAAGGGACCTCAGGAGGTCATCTAGTCCACCCCCCTGCTCAAAGCAGGACCAATCCCCAGACAGATTTTTACCCCAGTTCCCTAAATGGCCCCCTCAATTATTAAACTCACAACCCTAGGTTTAGCAGGCCAATGCTCAAACCTCTGAGCTATCACATGTTACAGGATAAGGGTCTTAGTTTTCATATGAAAAAGCAGGTGTTTCCGCCTTATACCGTATTAAATATCTGTAATTTCTGGTGTTACAAAATATGCATTACTGTCGTCAATATGAAAGGTAAAATGACTTTAACCATCTTGTGATACCCTTTTTGTTACAACCAAAAAGCCTCAGTGCTGAAATGAGCATGTACACATTTGAGTAATATTGTGAGTCAGTGAACCAACCCACACAGCAGCAGAAGTGTATTCCATTACAGTGCAGTGCTTTGATGGATTTCATGTCAGAACCTAATCTGCCCTGTTGACCCTGCGTTGAGGGTTTTTTTTTATGGTCTTTTAAAGGGGTTCCTTTGGGAGCCTAATTGAATACAATAATATAAATAGAAGCATTAATGAAATAGTATCTATTTGATTTTGCAGTGTTGTGAAGAACTGCATTACGACCCGGCTAATAATGAGAAGTTAGCTGATTTAATGGCTTTTCCCTGTATATTTTTGTTACATTTCGTTGCATTCCAGAAATGAATGGTTTTGAATTGTACTGTAAGCCGGGTTATCAAATGCTAAAAAATGTATTAGCAAGTACATTATATTTTTCAGAAGTTTTGCTGAACCTATTAATTTTCATTTTCAAATTCTGAAAACACATACGTTTAAATTTCAAATAATTGACTTAGATGCGTGTATTGATCTAAATGGGTAAGGTGCCTCCATCACCAGAGTATCTGGGCACCTTACACATTAATTAGATTGGCAACAGCAGAGTCCCTAGTGGTCTCTAGCCCTTTGTAGTTTATAGAAAACCCTGCTTGCTGGATCAAATGGATCCATTGCTATAATAATTTGTATCTTTACCTTGTATAAAAATCTTCTCTCAGGAAGTTGCTACTTTAAGTAAGATGCTGTCTGGTGTTTTTGTGCATGCTACATATTATTGGTTGCGACGACTCAAAAGAGTCATGTTAAATAATCGCAGTGAGAGAGGGATAGCTCAGTGGTTTGAGCATTGGCCTGCTAAACCCAGGGTTGTAAGTTTAATCCTTAAAGGGGCCATTTAGGGCAAAAATCAGTACTTGGTTCTGCTAGTGAAGGCAGGGGGCTGGACTTGATGACCTTTCAGGGTCCCTTCCAGTTCTAGGAGATGGGATGGGATTAAAGAAGACAACTCCAGTTTCACATTTCAAAGAGGAATATTTAAGCAGCCCTTTGAGAGTGTGCAACCCCTCCTCCCATTCAAAGCTGCATGTGAGATCAAAAGATGGGCAAGTGTCTTACACAGAACATTGCAAAACACTGATCTAATTTTGCACTTGGCGGTTCCTCCCCCCACCCCCCCAGTAGATTTCAGCTACAAACTCCTCCTTTGCCGTGCAGCAGGCTACGGTGATAAATTGATGCTGCGGCAGAATTTTTTTTTTTTCAGTCTTAGCATAAAATGGTCGAATGATGTTCCACTGCAGAATTCAATTTCACAGTTCAGTTGGGTCCTTGATTACGCTGCCAAATTCAGATTAATGTGCACTTAACTAACATGGATCAGGGGACTCCTGGCTGACAGCCAGCAGTAATAGTAGCAACTGAGAGCTGTGTAGAGTTTTATGCCCTGTCCACCCCCCGTGCACCGCCAGTGGAATTGATTGATTAAATGAATTCATAGGTATAATTATTTGTAATTGTGCTACATCATGAGCCTGTGTCTATGCACCCCCCCCCCCAGAGATGTTACACACATTGTCATGGGCTATTTTTGCTATGCTGTAAACAGATTCATTTCCAAAAATTGCTGTATTTTTGCCCATACCTTTTGGGTTTGAATAGAGCTATGGATGAGCAAACATCCTGTCTGAGAATGTAAAAAATTCATTTACTTTACATAGAAGAAGCTTGAAAACACTTTAAGGCAAAGGAACTTTTAAGTGGAAATAGGAAATGTGTCGTTAGTTGTTTTTCCATCAAAGGAATAACGCGTACACTTGTGGGGGGTTTTTTTAAAGCCTCCTATTGAGATAATTTCTTCCCAGATTGTCTCTGGTTTCAAAGGAAAATTAGCGGTTGTATGACACTGCAGTTAAGTAGTTTGTCATTCTGGAAAATCATTTAAGAAATGGTAAATTAAATTAGTCTCCGTGTTGCTTGTTCTGTCTTGCTTGAAGGAAGCCCGCTTTGAGAACGATGAAGACCAAACACCCATTTCAGATAGGTTATAGGCTCACAATCACTACTCTCCCCCGCATCCCGGGGCAAAATCTTAGTTTGAACTTTCCTGTTTTCTGCTTATTGTTTGTTTAATCTATTCTCGCGTTTGCCCGTTATAATAATGCTCGTATTGTTGGGAAGAACAATAGGTGCAATACCAATTTGGGGGAGTTGTAAGAAAGACCCTGAAGAATTATAATGTGTGAATCCTATAAGCAAGGCATTTGAAATGAATGCACCATTGGCATTTGAGCCATATAACCCTACATACCTTACCGGGTGCTGTTGCAGGAAGCTAGGACCAGTGCTCGTGTGCAATGCTCTATCTTCCCTACACAGTTACGGAAGTGTCCCACAGTCAGTGGGAAAGGGCAGGTAACTAGAAGGGGCAAGAGTTGGGCCATCAATGGAAGAGATTTTAAGTTGGTGGCAGTGTCCAATTTGCCCTGCATATGACTGAGATCTATCCAATCAAAATACGTCTGTCTATGTTACCAGCCCTCACTCCCTTCAATAGTGGCAGTCATTTGGCCACATTATCACATTGCACAGTAGTACAACCAATGTTCGCAGGGCCTTATCACCCAGACCGTTGGAGTGGGAACCACTTTCCAGCTCCCAGTCAGTCCCGGTTTCATTCTAGGAGTGGTCTGTATCTGTATATATGTAAGTAGTTAATAGTCCAGGTACCAGGAGATGGCGGTCAAGAATATGTAGCATAGCTCCTGTATTTTGCAGGACTTATAAAATTTGTTGTGCACTGCAAATGGCTTCCTCTGTGCATCTCTTTACCTTAGCTCTTAACAGGTTGCAATGCAGGTAAATTGGTGTTAGCATGGCAGTAAGGATGGCAGTGTGGCACAGACATCTGCTGGGTAATAGATGCTGGATGGCAGCTACACACAAGTCTTTCCAGTGCCCCTGATCACAGTAATCACTGCCAATGCACCCATTGTGTTGTGAACAGATATGGTGCCTGTCAGAACTGTTGCACTGTGCACCCTGTATTACCATCTAAAGTGTCTGTCACAGTTCCTGCATGTCCTGTTTGTTCTTTGCACCTCTGCCAACCAGGTGAGGGTCGATTCATTGGCTGCCCTGTGTGATGTCTTTATGGTCCCCTCCATTAACAGTGCGCTATGCAGGATTCAGGAACTAGGGCTTGATTTCCAGCCCCGGTGAGCTCTCCTCAGCACTGGAACTGATTGGGAAACAAAGGTAGCTTTACATTCACTTGCTCCTCCTGTTTTACTCTTGTGAAAGCAAAGGGAGGATCAAGAAGAGGGTGGCTGGAGAGGGGAGGAGCTAACACAACAAGAGACTTAAGGAGCTCAAGTGTTTAGCTTATCAAAAAGAAGATTGAGAGGTGACTTGTTTGCAGCATATAGGTACAAGAACCAATGGCTGGAAGTTGAAACCAGACAAATTCAAATTAGCAATAAGGCCCAAATTTTTAACCGCAAGGGCGACTAACCACTGGACCAAACCACCAAGGGAAGTGGTGAGCCACTAGATCAAGACTTGGATGCCTTTCTGGAAGGTATATTCTAATCAAACCCAAGTTAGTGAGCTCAATACAGGGGTAACTGGGTGAAATTATTTGGCCTGTGATACACAGGAGATCCGGCTAGATGATCTAATGGTTCTAAAATCTACATTTTTATTGTGATCAGAATGTACCCAAAAAAAGAATGTACCAAACTGGTAATTTTAAAAAAATCTCTATTCTCAACAAGAGGGTACCAGAGTGTCACTTTAAAAGGAATAGGTATTTAGGTTGTAGAGGACATTCCCCTCAAAATTATACCATCTGTTCGGGACATCATGGTACTGGGTATAAACAGATTGCTTGTGCTCCACTAATCCTAAAGACTATAATAAATAAAGCGATAGTTAGGGATTTTTACTTGTCACCTCAGCAGTCTGTGGACCATCAGTGATCCTTGGAGTTCCTCCTGGTGGTCCAGAGGGTGAAACATGCTGAGAACCAAGCAAGGGGTGAGGAATAGCAGTGTCAAGTGGGTCTGTGATTAGAGATTTCTTTTACTAAATGTCCACAAAAAGAGAAAGTTAGAAAACCAAGTAGGAACCTCAGAAATGAGAAATCACAGTGGAGGTGGCCACACCATGGTACTGAGGAATTGAGGTCTGACTTCATTGATAATGTAAGGTTTAGAATGCTCATAATCCCTGCAGTTATTTTCAGCCATTGATCAGTGCTGAATACAACATGTTAACTTTGCCTTGTTTTAATTTTTGCAGGTGGATTACGATCGAGCACAGATGGTAGTTAGCCCACCACTATCTGGATCAGATACCTACCCTAGAGGCCCAACAAAGCTACCTCAAAGTCAAAGCAAAGTTAGCTGTTCAGGTAGTAGCTTCCAGTATCCTTCAGTCTATCACAAAGCCTCTCATTATCACCAGCCAGCCCTCCAGTCAAGCTCTCCTTATATTTCCACGGCTTCTTACCCAAGCTCCCCAAGTATCACATCAAGTGCTTATCCCCCACCTAGCTGGGGTTCATCCTCCGATCAGCAGCCCTCCAGGGTGTCACACGAACAGTTCAGAGCTGCCCTCCAGCTCGTTGTCAGTCCCGGCGACCCCAGAGAGTACTTGGACAACTTTATCAAAATAGGAGAAGGCTCCACGGGGATCGTTTGCATTGCCACTGAGAAGCACACCGGAAAGCAAGTCGCAGTGAAGAAAATGGATCTCAGGAAACAGCAGAGAAGAGAATTACTCTTCAATGAGGTAAGCCATTTTGGATGAGGGGACAATTTTGCAGGTTACTGATCACAGAGAGGAACAAAGCAGAAACCCCCCCAGTGCCCAACGGATAAGGCTTTGGCCTCCGAAGATAGGGATGGTGAGTTCAGTTATAACTTCCTGAGTCGCAGTCTCCATTGGGGTGGCCCCTTACTATGGGCAGGTCACAAACCGACCATCAAGCAAAATATTTGTCACTTTTGTAAACAAATGTAAAACTTCATTTTATTTTCTGTTCTGCCTTTCCTTTAAATATCTCACTATGGGCTTAGTCATAGCTTTGTCGGGAGCCCAGCATTGTTGCCCTGAACCTGGAGATGCTCGGAGTCAGTCGCCTGGCTCCCCGCTGCGCTGGGAAGGGAGGTCAGGGCTGTAATCTGTCCCAGCATATGTTCCTTGGCACCCCAATGCAGCCAAGGCTTTGCCCATTCCCTGCCTTATTGTGCCCACACCTGCTCAGCAGCAACAATAGAGCGGCTCTGCCCTGTTACCTGGGGTGTGAGTAGCCGTGCGGGGGCAAAAGGGAACAAACGCCTTATGGCCCCTACTGCTGCTTTAGCTGGGTCACAAGTGAGCTGTATATTATTAGGGTGTTTTGGTTTTTAATTCTCTGCACGTTGACCTTGGTGGCACCACGAAGAAGGCTTTGCTTAACTGATTTGATATAATCTCTGTTGTACTAAAAGGAAAAGCAACAGGTAAAAAAAGAAAGAACCATTTCTGTTTTTATATTCAAAAGAAAGCTATTTTCCACTAAATGTGATTTAGAAATTATATTTCCTCCATCTTTCAGAAATTATTTACAGGGAAAGTTCTGGACATGTAAATATATTAGTTAGAAAAACATGGTGTAATTAGGCATAAGGATTTAGCAAGGGTGTTACATCATAACATTTCTTGAATCCTAGAATATCAGCATTGGAAGGGACCTCAGGAGATCATCTAGTCCAACCCCTTGCTCAAAGCAGGACCACTCCCTAGGCAGATTTTTGCCCCGATCCCTAAATGGCCCTCTCTAGGATTGAACTCACAACCCTGGGGTTAGCAGGCCAATGCTCAAACCACTGAGCTAATTCTCCCCTGTGCCAGCAGTAAGAGAAAAATGATCCTGAATCAAAACGTTTCCAGTAACTCATGCGGTGTTTGTCTTTTGCTTAGGTTGTAATAATGAGGGATTACCATCATGAAAATGTGGTTGACATGTACAACAGTTATCTCGTGAGCGATGAGCTCTGGGTTGTTATGGAGTTTCTGGAAGGTGGTGCTTTGACAGACATAGTGACGCATACAAGGTATGTTTGGTTAGCATCATCTGTACACTGTTTTAGTGTTGAAGGCACCTCTTCTTTCAAAGGTGCGGCAAATCCTCTGCTTCTACTAGGGCAAGAAGGAATATCTGGCTTTGTCCTGCCCATGCTTACTGCCACTGCCAGTTTATAGAAAGGGGGAAATGTTAGCAAAGGTGGGACTAAGTGCAATCCGTGCCTGCTTTGTCCCAGCTTACGCTCTCGGTGACTCAGTGGAAACTGATGAGTGATTTAAACATGGTTTGGTATTATCAGCCTCTGTCTAAAAGCAGACAGGTCTGCAATGTAATAAATTCATACTCCTGACAAAATGCAAAAACGATGAGAACTTTACTATGCATTTAATCTAAAAAAAAAAACCTGTCTCTGTCAAAGGAGTCTAGAAGCCAGTTAAAATATCTGAAAATGCCCAGCTGTGCTCAATATACAACAGGTCCATTTTTCTACTGATCGTCTCTCTTTAAGGGAGAATAGAAAGTCCTTTTTTATCTGCTAAAACCTCAGGTTGGGGTTCTATGTTTCTCATACAATAACTGTGTAACTTAACACCTAAAACAGTGCCGGGAACGCCATTCCTTACACGGCCGTAGTAGGAATGAGGGGGGGTCTCACCAACCGTTCCAAGGGAAATATGGAAATCTTAACTTGGGCCTTAGCAGAAAGGTGATGGATAGAATGATTTGCAACACTTATTAATATATATGTACATCTTATGTTAGAGTGAAATCCAGCCCCGTCCCCTTCTCTCTTGTTTTTGCTTTCCTCCCCCATCCTGTTTTTTCTTGTCCCCATCCAATCCAGAACTTTAGGGCTAAATTGCCACTTTTATGACGAAAGCCTGGCTCCACTGAAATCCATGACAAAACTCCCCTGGACTTCAGCGGGGCCAGAATGTCACCTCAGAGCCAGAGCTGTGTTAGGGAGGGGAGCTGGTGTCGGTGTACCACCTGAATGATGTTGACAGGAGCCATTATGCCTCATGGCATAAGAGTAAGAAAAATGCCTTCAGAGGTGCTGGACAACAGCATACTATTGGCAGCGACTGTTACATTGTTGCAAACGTTTACAGTGAGCTCCTCCCAGGGCTGGCCTTCCTCCCCTGGCCTCCCCGCAGCCTGCGCCGCCATGTTCCCCCAAAATTGCTCTACGTTTCCATCGACAGAAGATCTCCTTTCCCCCTTCCCTTTGCATTGCAGAGTGCAGGCTGTTGTTTGATGGCTACCTCCGTCATGAGAACCCTGAGAGGAAAAGGACTTCCTGAGCCCTCTGACCCACAATGCACCTGTGTTGGCACGGCCATATTTTGACCCTTCAGCCATAGGCTATAACTCTGCTCATTCAACTATTGTGGAGAAAGGGACATGGGATCAGAGCAGTGTTTCATCCAGCACAATATCCTGTCTCTAGTACCATTCTTTACTAGCTATATCTGAGCAAGATGCAGTAAACCCTGCTGTAGGCAATTACGGGTTAAGAGAAAACTAAACAAATGGCAACATAGGTTCTTACTGTTGGGAATTCTTTCTCTGGCCACAACAGCAACTTAGGGCCTTGCCTAAACACAAAAGTTGTACTCCGTTAACTACACTGGTATAGCTAAAGTAGTATAGTAAACTACCCCCTAGTGTATAAATGTGCTGGTACAACTATTCCCATCCAGAAAGGGAAATACGATAGATTGGTGTAAGACCCTTCATGCCAGTATAACTGCACCAACATTAGGGGTTGTACTGGTATGCTTATTTCAGTAAAAAAATCACACCCCCTAATCAACATAATTAAACAGGTACCAACGTTTACATGGAGCTCCTGACTTTATGCCTGTCTTCCAACTTGCCTTCTGAAGGGACAGATTTGATTTTGTGTAACATATTCCCTCTGTTTGCCGCCCACCCTTTTTCCAGCACTCAGAAAGAAGGTAGGCAGGAGAAAAGTGTTTTACATTTAACCAGTAAAATGCTTTTCTCCTTGAATCAAGACCACACAACTAGCGCATCTATGTGGAGGAAATTTAGCTATGAGCAAAGAAGAGGACTCCCAGTTTAGCAACGAATATCAATTCAGTCACAAAAATTATCTAACAATTTAGTGACATGTTCAGGTCACGGCTAAATAGGAATTGTAAAAGAGATACTTCTTTTTTAAGTGCTGCCTCAATTGACATGCAAAAAAATCACGGCCATTGTACGTCATTTGTTAGCGACGCTGCCCCAAAACTTCAAAACCACTCTGCCAAATTCCTTTGACAGGAATGTAATGGCAAACAGATGTTTACAGAAAACTGCTACTTAAGAGCTGTCATCATTTTTTTGCAACCACAAGAGTCATTCCTTAATCTTTTTTACTTTTTCTGACCTTCCCTCAACAATTTTGCTGAAATGCTGTAACATTTACATAACAGCGTGAAAGCAGAAGTCTCCTTGGTGGGGTTTTTTTTTATATTAATGTAATAGAGGGAGCTTTGGCCAGCAAGACAGGAATCATGCTCTTTATTGGTTCATCTAGAACAGAAGGCGAGTGGTGAGTCACAACTGAAATAGGGATTGTTTCTACATCTCTCATTGAATGACCGCTACGGGATGGTCTGTGGATGAAGGCGGCTGTGATAGAGCACACGACAGAATGGCTTACAGTTCATTAACTCCCTTCAGTTTCGTTGTTATAAAGATGGTATAGCAATGGGACAGGCTTCTTTTTCCATGAATATTTTTTTGTAAATGATGACTGGATAAGTATATCTTATCATATAATTTATGGGGTGCTTCTTGAAATATCATTTTAAATGTTTATTTGTAATGTACATAAGAGCAAAGGAAATAACCCTACATGATTGCGGACAGGATGTGAATCCACAGATTTGCTCTGAAATCCAAGAATCATTTCCCGTGTTCATTCTCTTTCATGATTCCATTCCAATTGTGATTTGTCCTTCTTGGCAACTGGTGGACTTACTTCAGAGTAGCAGCCGTGTTAGTCTGTATCCGCAAAAAGAAGAACAGGAGTACTTGTGGCACCTTAGAGACTAACAAATTTATTAGAGCATAAGCTTTCGTGAACTACAGCCCACTTCTTCAGATGCATATATGCATATATATACATATATGCATCCGAAGAAGTGGGCTGTAGTCCACGAAAGCTTATGCTCTAATAAATTTGTTAGTCTCTAAGGTGCCACAAGTACTCCTGTTCTTCTTTTTGGTGGACTTACTGTATATCAAAGAACTTCAGTTTCTTCAGAACGGGGAATTGACTAACTAAATACATTACAATGTGCTATACATTATATGTATTTAATGCCGCACACCTACTTCGTTTTCAAAATTTTTCCTTGTGCTTAAACTTCCAAAAAGTATAGTGGCTCCATTTTTTAAAGAAACAAAAGTGCAGTGCTGCCCTGGTAAGTGACTATCAAAGTGGCATCAAAGCATTCCTTGTTTATCTGTCAGTGACTGGCAGATAAAATTTACCCTATTTACAAGTAAGAAGGTTCCCAGCCCTGCTAACTCAACACCTGACTATTTCCTTTTCACACATTATCACCAGTAACAAACAACCCGTTGGTCAAATGAGGCCCTCAGTTACACCTGTGCAGCCCCATTATCCTCATACCCTCCAGCATGCTCTCCGTGATACTGCTGTAGCCTCACTGGCAAAAATGGATTTGCACAGATGTAACTGATTGGAACTCAGTAAAAAATGTAGTAAAAGTTGAGAGTGTCCAGAAAAGAAGACAAACCAGTTGACTTTCTTCTCTGTGTTGACTCTGCAAGACTAAGAGTTGCAAAAAGAGATAAAATTTTACTTCTGCTATTGAAGTCCAGAGAGATGACTTGGACACTGCGCAGGGAGCAGTCTGTTCAGCAGGGAGGTGTCATTTTTGCACCGTCACTTTTCAGAACAGAAGTACACTTTAAAGGCAGAATGAAGGCTCTGCTTCTCAAGATTATTTCCACATCTCAGTATTTTATTTGTTGCAAGACAGGGGTTCCTGGTCATTAGGAACTGGTGGTGCTTAGCCCCACCAATATTATCCCACTCTCAGTCAGACTGTATACACTCTCTGTAATGTAGTTACTGTTCTTCAGAGTGAAATACCACCTGCTGTCTCAAGGGGTACTGGAGCTTTGGCTGCAGTACTGCCTACTGCCACTGGGGCCATCTGGGAGGGCTGAAACTCCTCCAGCTTTCAGAGGTCCTAGCAGCTCCAGGACATCTGGGGCAGAGTTAAGGTTGTTGTGCGTGATCTGTAGTGCATAGTAGTTGAGTTGGTAAGGTGCAGGCCTGTGGTTGGAGGAGCAGTGGGTATGTACTGTTAGGTAGTTTAGCTTTTCGTCTCTGTGCTGTTGTGATTTTTGTGTCATGTAGAGCAACCTGAACTGTTTCACAAAAAAGTTATTAGTGTATTAACATGAAAACAAAGTTTCTGATCCAGTGGCAGTTAACTACATAGAGTCCTGTGCACCTGGAGACCAACACAGAGTGACCAATGGCTCTTGAGGGACAGGGTATGAGATTGTTCTTCAGGCCTCATAAACCTTCTTTCTCTCCGAGAGTGACATCATCATTTAGGAGCTGACCCAGAGGAAAAAACTTCCAACCCAGGCCACCATGTCACATTGGCTGGAGCTCAGTGGAAAGAGTTCGGTGTGATTCCCCTATTATAATTCCGGTGAGCCTAGTTTCTAGATATGGCTGTCTAGCTGGACAGAGTCTGTAACTTTGACCTTGGCAAGGACAGGAAGTGATGAACAGTCCTGAGAGGGAAGGACGTCTTAGAATGAGAAGCAGATGGGGCGGCAAATTTGGGCTCGATCAGTTCCTTTGAGAAACTTGGCTGCTGTCTACCACTGCTGAATATTGACTTGAATGAGGTTGTGCCAGCCTACATCAGTTCTGGCCCGTTGTCCTTATCTGTTTCTTCCTTAGTTTATTCTTCCTCTTTTTTACATGTCTTCACTGCTTGCCTTCTTGCCTTTAGAATGAATGAAGAGCAGATAGCTACAGTTTGTCTGTCTGTACTGAGAGCGCTGTCCTACCTGCACAATCAAGGGGTTATTCACCGCGATATAAAAAGTGACTCTATACTTCTCACGAGCGATGGAAGGGTGAGCGTTTAACATTTTCACTCCTACTGTATCTTTAACTGTGACAATCCGAACGATCAATGTAACTATCCTATAACCAAGTTAATGAAAATCCTATGGAGTGTTGCAGACATCAGCTGTTGAACCCATGATATACTAACCTTGGCTCCACCTGCTATAGAAGGTCCATGCCTCACAGCTCTTCCCACAAAGGAATGCAGGAATTGCCAGACCATATCTGAACAATAGTCCTTCTAGTCCAGGATCCTGTCTCCAACAGTAGCCAATTCACCTCTACCCCGATATAACGCGACCCGATATAACACGAATTTGGATATAACGTGGTAAAGCAGCGCTCCGGGGGGGCGGGGCTGCGCACTCCGGCGGATCAAAGCAAGTTCGATATAATGCAGTTTCACCTATGACGCGGTAAGATTTTTTGGCTCCCGAGGACAGCGTTATATCGGGGTAGAGGTGTACCAGACTGAGACAATGTAAGTCATTGCAGCCTATAAAGGGTTAATAGATTTCTTCCCATCATGTGGCTTCTCAGGGGTGGAATACATAAGGCAGAGGAAGCTGGGTGAAAGGCCTCACTTGAGAAGGAGGTGTCCTCTTTCTCCTGGCTGGCTGAGACAGGAAAAGCCACGGAGGATTGTTACCAGCATTTTCAGTTGACTTGTTTTGTTTGTGACCATTATTTATGAACAATAAACAAAGCCAAGAGGAAAGGGCCATAAAAAAGGACTTGGGCATAGAATCTGATTTCCCTGGCTGGTGAAACAACTCACTAGCTTACAAGATGTTTTAGAGGAAGATCTAAAATCTCCATTGTATAGCGCTGAGCTGTGACAGAGTGCTATTGTGCACTAGTAGCCTACTGATGCACATGCTGGAGTAGCATGTTGCTGCTAGCGTATGGAGCATTCATTTTACATTTCACTTTTATTTTTTATAAAACCTTCTTAAAAAGCAGTTGCATGGAGCATTATAGAGGTATCCTTCCACTACAAAAAGTAGTTCCTAGTAAAAGGTGTAGGTGAAATTATATGTTTATTTGCAATATATGATTCAGTCACTTGATGTCTGTGTGCAATGTAGAGCGTTCCAGGCAGAGTAAACATGGTAAACATGGGAGACAAAGCTGGAACTCAAACTCTGTGGAAGCTAGATTGAATGTGTCAGTAGTTAGTACTCTAGTTCTTTTCTTTAATAAATACCTCCCAAATAAGACGGTCTGGAACCTGATACACAGTTGTGACAGAAAAGTATAGCCAAATACAAACTGTGTACAGAACTGTTTCAGAAACCTGGTTAGTGGAGCTGAACGCAGTTCATTCTTAGCTGCACTTGCAGTTTACCCACTGGTTCAGCTGTACCTGTGACTGATACCCACTGTCAACAACAGGTAACTTTGCTAGTCTAGATGAGGCCTGTGGCAGGGATCACTGGGCCCAGAGAAGGATTTAATGCTGTTCTGTGAAACAGTAACCAAACCCTGTTTTTCAGCTGTACTAAGGTCAATTTGGAGGTGTCAAGGTGCCACACAGAATGGCTGCTGTCTGCCCCTTCCCTTATCTAACTGGCTACCCCCTTCCTACTCTTTTCCGAGCAGCCAGACTGACATGCCATTTGGTGGAAGGGGTAGCTGTGGGAGTCGGACATTCCTCGCAACCCCTTCTCCCCCTCACATGGCTCCTCCACATCTCTGTGACGCAATGTCTGTGGCTTTCGTTTATTAACCATGCCTCCGGGAGGGAACTATTCAGTCCACATATAAAATATTAAGGATTCTTCAGGATAAAATGTAAGCTATTGATATTGTACTGGGCTACTGGCACAGAGCTTATCCTGTACTACAAATTCCAGGCAGAGCAATATATCCGACTTACTCTTTGTATTACAGGAGTGCTTAGGGGCCCCATGCAGCATAATGCATCCACATGGTGCTAGGTGCTGGATGTGCACATAATAAGAGAGTCCCTGCCTTGCAGACCATACAGTCTAAATAGACAAGACAGACAGACGGTGGGGCAAAGGGAGAATTATCATTTTACGGATGCCCAAGATGGTACAGGAAGCCTGTGGCAGAGCAGGGACTTGAACCTGAGTCTTTGGACGCCAAAGGTGAATTCCTGGCCCCATTGAAAGCCATAGCAGAACTCCCATTGACGTCAGTGGAGCCAGGATTTCACCCTTAGGGCTTGTCTACACTACCCGCCGGATCGGCGGGCAGCGATCGATCCAGCGGGAGTCGATTTATAGCCTCTAGTATAGACGCGACAAATCATCCGCTGAGCGCTCTCCCGTCGACTCTGGTACTCCACCAGAACGAGAAGCTCAAGCGGAGTTGACGGGAGAGCGTCAGCTGTCGACTTACCGCAGTGAAGACACCGTGGTAAGGAGATCTACGTACGTCGACTTCAGTGACACTATTCACGTAGCTGAAGTTGCGTATCTTAGATCTAGCCCTCACGGTAATGTAGACAAGTCCTCAGTCTGGCACTTTAATCACAAGAGCATTCTTCCTGATTTGGTTCCTTTTATTGTCTTCACCTACCAAGAGGTATATTCTTCCCTTTGTAGGCACAGGTCACTCCCATCAGAATTAAATGTGCCTGCATCCAGGGAAGAAAATTCCATACATGTGAAAGTTGTTCAGTCTCGTCTATAGTAGTGTGGCTGAAATACCATCTGATCTGCTTCCAGGATCTGCACACAATGCCTCATTATGCTCATTACTCTAGTACTTATTATCTGCAATGCAGATTTCTTCATGGCTATGTTGTGCAATTATCTTTTTTTAGAAAATCGTCTTTTTTTTCTGTACTCGGATGAGCAATAGATATGCAAAAACTGTTACACTCCTACAAAAGAGCTTCCAAACTGTGCACTATTTCATCTCTTCTCCATGCTGTAAACTGAAAAATATGTTTGGCTTGGACAACTTGGATATTATTTGCTTTGTTTTGTAAATCCCTACAATTATTTCTGCATTCTGGTTTTATAAAAAACCAACTGCCCTCAAGAAAAAATAGCATCTCCATTGAGGCCAAAAGAAAACAAATCAGCACTGATAATAAAATGCTGGTCTACACAATGCATCGATTTATTGAGCTTCCTCTTTAACTCTTCATATAGCTATTCAGCTTCATTCCTTAACCACAAACTGCAGACCGACATGGTAGGCGAGTGGCAGACACCCCCAAGTCAGTCGACTTAATGTACCCTCTCTACACACATACACACATTGTACGTCATTTGAAAGTGTATTATGTCTACTTTAAGAGAAGGTATGATGTGGAGCTGTCAAGTGGTGCCATTATCATAGAAATGGGGATAAACAGTGATACCATCAACACGTTAAAATGACCGCTTTGAAATATTTGCATTCAGTTTTATGACTCTTAAGTATTATCTCAAGACATAAAAATGGAGTTTGTTGTGAGCCCAAAGCATCGCAACAACAATCTAAAACAAAATCTAATATTAAATTCATACAGGTATCATTGAAATGACATAGCACTGGTGACATTTCTAGTCCACATCATTATCATCATCCTGTTCATCATTATGATCACTGTCGAGAGTGCGTGGGTTACCACAGTCTTCATTGCCTTGGCATGTACACAGTTGCTTGCAGGGAAATTGTTCTGACTACAGACGCATTTGCTTGTGCAGCAATCCATATTGATCCAGGCACAAATAAGGTTTTGTGGAAACACAGTTGCCATTGGGCCCTTGAAGACTACAGGAAGTTGTTCATCATCCACATTTTTCTATTCATGTTGCTATGGTGATCCAATATCTGGTTTCCCTGTGTGCAAAGATATCCTGATTTTTGTTTGCCAAGATACTCTTTTGACCTGCTCTTCAATACTGTCCTGACATGGTGAGAATTTGGCTTGTGGCTTGTCCTTCTTGATGGCTAGATTGAGGCAAAAGCAATTCAGGTCTCTGTGATCTCCTTTTCTTTCTCATTGTGGTCAGACAGCATTGCTACCAACTTTCTTGCTGGAGAAATTGCGGCTTGTCTGTCTCTCTGTCCCAGTTTGGCCAGATCTCTGAAGTGGTAAGCTCCCTTTGTTTTGACAACATTAAGCCCAGAGTTTTTCCCAATGCCAAATAGGGTTGACACAGAGTCACATCCTGTTAATGTGCGTATAGCAGGAAGTATGTTGCAGACGTCAGGAGTGAGTGCATCACAAATTGCATGCACAGGCATGAATCATCGCTTGACAACTGTACTGGTAATGGTGTCTGTGTCAATCCACATGTTATCTGTATGTTCCATATTTGGAAAGTCGTGAACAGCCAGGATCAAAACATCTGTATCAGGTGACCAAACTACTATCGTTCTTTGACACCAAGAGATCCAAAAAGCCATACTGGCACATAGAGCACATATAAGTGACTTCTTTCCCATGCTTCAGGGATATTTCTTATGATGCTGGATTGTCTGCAGACTGTTCTTGAAATACCACTCTAGCCACTGAATGAAAGAATTCCTTTCCATCAGTGGCCTCTTGCACTGATGTCTGTACTATTATCTTCTTCATGGATGAGCTTTCCACCAGCATGAAGTTGTACACAGCCATTTGGAATGTACATACCTCCCTGGAGTCTTTCGACTTCCGTTTTTGCAGCATTAGTGATGAGCTACCTCTGCTCATCGTAACCGATGCAGAATCTATGAAGCTGTAGAGTATGTCAATTAAACTCATAGTGTAGCTGTGAGGAAGGCATATGTGCAGTGATGTGATAATTTTGGAATTGTTATATGCTATACACTCTGCAGTTGAGAGGCAACTTCTTTGAATGTCTTCTGAAGGATGATACTCATTGCTGGCTGAATAATATGCCTCCTTATCTATCAAGCAAAGGACAAACTACTGCACCAATAGAGGCACCAAAGTAGCTGACATCTGTAAACTACAGTCACGGGGCTTTAGATAACATTCAGAGGCTTTCATTTTGGCTATTTCAGATCAAAGGATTGAAGCAGCATTAAGCTGTTCATC